CACACACACACACACACACACACACACACACACACACACACACACACTTGCGGTCCCAACAATGTATTTCACAAATGGCTTGAACTGAGAATATCTTCTGCCATTGGGGAAATCTCATGTACCCACTCTTAGCTTGGAATGAGCTAAGAGTGTTGGCAACCTGAATTTCCAGCCATGGCTGCTCACATATGGTTCAAGAATAAACTGCCTCTTGCTGCACTTGAAGTGAGGGCTGGGTTGTATGTGAACAAGACAAGTCCAGGTGTTGTTGTGACATCAGAGTGCTCACTGGGTTGCTCAGGTGCTGTAACCATCATCAAACTTGTTCAACCCAGTACTTTTCCCTTTTTTTTTTTTTTTTTTTTTCTTTTTTTTGAGGCAGGGTTTCGCTGTGTTGTCTGCCTCTGCCTCCCCAGGGCTGGGACTACCTGGTCTTACTATTGCTTACACTTTCAAGCACACACTTTTAAGTTGATATCTGAAATTTTTCATCATCATAGACATCATGAAATAAATTTTATCTTTCTTTTAAATGGTATCTAAATGTCCTAATGAGTAAAGATCTGTTAGCACGGATGGAAGAACATACAAATTAGCACCTTTTCACAGGTGAAAAATCTCACCTCTAAATCCCACTGTAGCTTCCAGGTTTTCTCCAGATAGAACGTTAGGCTTAAAAGTATAAATCTAACACTCAAAAACTGTATATGTTAGAAAAAATGTAGCTATTTGTAATCGTAGTGTGTAATTTTCCAATATTAGTAAAGTATAATGATTCATTGTGCATAACTAATAAAAAGGTAAATATACATTTTGATTCCTGGGCATGGAAGGTAAGTCTTGTTGGGGGCACAGTCTAATGGCTGAGCCCATTCACGTTGTCTGTGTGCCCGCAAGTGAGCGTTTGTTACAGGAGCAGGCGAGGCTCAGCCATAGCTCTCTTCTCATGCCTTTCAGTTCATTTTTGCAGACAGAAGTCCGGGGGGAACCTCGTCGATGCGACTGCTTTGCTGAGAGTCATTTTGTCACCATTCTCTGCTCTCCAGATTTATGGAGCACACCTTCATAGTGATCGGTGATAACCCTTTTTAATTTACTGTCAGCAGCCAGTTCGGTGAGGTCCCCTTTTAGTTTTCTAAACACTAAAAGCTGGAAACCCCGTTGGGTTTAGGGGTTGGGGTAACACAGCCTGAGTGTAGCCGAGGCTGGCCACAAACCCCACATCTTCCCAGCAGTCACCCGGCTTTCACGAGGATTAGCTCACCAGTCAAGAGGTACCACCGTTCTCAATGTACCCCAACCATCCCTTTGAGTGGTGCCTTGGACAAGTTTATGTTTGGGGGTCAATTTGGCGAGGGAGAAGTATTTTCTGCTTGGGAAGTGGGGGAACTGATGGGCATCTTGCTAAGAAGGCAGAGCCACTCAGGAAGATGAGGAAGATAAGGGGCTCATAAACTGAAAATATCTATGCTCAAGAATCATTCAGGTAATTTTGCACAGCCTTCTCCTTGAGGGCCACACGGATCTCCACTGGACAAGGGTGCCTGTGGTGTATTTATTACCAAACATCAGACATTGAGGGCTGACAGGAATTAATTACCTGCATTATTCCTCTTGAAAGTAAGGTCCGCCCCCATGGAGCCCAACGACTTGGGAAATAGTTGATTATTCCAAGTGTGTGAGTTTATGTCTTTGCCACTGGCTACCAAAGACACGTTCTTGGGGTTGACGCCTGAGAAGAACAAAGCAGTGTGAACGCGAGCCTGGGGGAAGAGTAGCCTAGACAGCCTCTGCAAAGGAAGCTAGGGGTAAATGTAGGTTAAAACAGTGTGCTCTCCTTTTAGTGAGCTCTAACGTGATTCTGAGCCCTCAGCACAAACCTGGAATACTGACAGCACACACCTCACCTCCTGTAATATAAACAGCAATAAACACTTAGCCCTCCTGCAAAAGGCATCATAATAAAAACAAAACAAAACAAAACAAAAACAAAAACAAAAAAAAAAAAAAACAAGCAAAGGCTGGAGAGATGGCTGTGTGGTTAAGAGCACTGTCTGTTCTTCCAAAGGACCTGGGTTCAGTTCTCAGCACCCACATGATAGCCCACAACTGTCTGTAACTCCAGTGTCTATGGATTCTGACACTTTCAAACCAATGCACAGAGAAAAAAATGAAATAAATTATTAAAAAAAACAAAAACAAAAACAAAACAAGCAAGACCGTTTCCCTGAAAAGCCATGATGGTTCTATGTCCCTCACTAACAGGCCAGACCCTTGGTGAACAGTTGCCAGAGCCGGGAAGAAAGATGTGACCTGAAGACATAGCAAAAGAAGTAGCAAATGCCTACAGCCCATCGCCACCTGGGGCTGGAAAGGCATTGAAGATGGATTTGGGGAGAAGGGTGGCTTTAATTATGTTTTTCTGAAGTCTGAAATGTCAGTTCCATCTCGTGCTTTGGTGCTAGTAGTCAAAGAGAGCCCTTTCAACTTGTTTACATAAAGAGCCTGAACCCGTCCTGAGTTTGTTTGCTTCTGACCAGTCACGCAGCTCTGAGTTGCTGACAACTTTATGTGCACTAAGGCTGTGGGTCACCTGCTGGCAATGTTATTAGCCAGCACTGATGTCATCTCTGGTGCAGTCACAACTGCTCCCCGGTAGGCGGGGCTGGGAAGACTTCTTGCCCTTGAGACATAAAGTGTTTCTACAGAAACCAGAACCCTGGAGGTTGGGGAGCTCATTGGTTCTTTGAGGAAGCACTCGTTGAGTAAACGGCTTTCGTTTCTCACAGGAGTAACTCTGAGGAGTCAACTCCTGATGAACACTTACAAATTTGCAGCTACAACGGGACAGTTATCTGACAAAGAAGATGCAGTACGTGAAAGAGGAGGGCACCGTTTGAGGAAAAGGACAGGGCAGGCGAGGGGGTGGGGGTCAGTAGCGAGGAAAGGGTAGGAAGGAGCAAGTCTGAGCATGGCCAGCCTCAGGCATGTATGAAAATGTCATAATTAAACTCATTTCATTTTACCCTAACCAAAAAAGAGAAAATAAAAAGGATGGCGCAGTGGGTTAGAAGTTCTTGTAGGAAAAAGTTTACTCAAAAGGAAGTGCGGCCCCGAGGAGGAGGGTCAGCAGGTGAATGCTCACTCTACAAGCATGGGGATCGGAGGCTGGGTCCCCGCACTGGGTAAAAAGCCAGCTGTGGTGGCGCACCCCTGTAATTCCAGCATAAAAGGTGGCTTTAGGAAGGTCCCAGAGCTTCACTCGCAGCACAGTCTAGCCAACCTGTGAGCTCAGGTGCAGTATCTCCAAAAGTAAGGTAGAGAGAAGACACCTGATGATGGCCTCTGGCCTCTCCATGTACACACAGGCACGTGCACCTACGCACGCACAGGGATGTACCACACACACTCACAAAAGGAAATGTGAGTGGGGGGGGATTAGGAACGTCCTTCAGTGAGCACAGTACTCATAAATGTTGTTCAATGAAAAATGGGCTATGAATCTTCAGACTATTTTGTTAATTCAACCATGGCACAATCTTGGTCTTAAAGCTTTCTGTTTTTAAAGGTGGGCATTGTGGCATATGCCCTTAACCCCAGAACTTGGGAGGCAGAGGCAAGCAGATTTCTGAGTAGAGGCCAGCCTGGTCTACAGAGCAAGTTCTAGGACAGGGCTACACAGAGAAACCCTGTCTTGAAAACCAAACCAAAACAAACAACAAAAATCCAAACCAACCAACCAACCAAACAAACAAACAAACAAAAACAACCTTTCTATGTGTTTATTTATACTTTTGTGCATCCCGATAACTAAAATAATTTGAACAAAAAAAAACGGCATTCTGATTAAACTGCCATTAAACTATAACCTGTAGAACACCTTGAACCATCTAGAATTTTACTCTAGACTTCAAGAATAAAAAAGGTTTTTTTTTTCTTTTTTCCTTTATTTTTGGTATTATAATGTAATTATATCATCTTCCCCTTCCCTTTCCTCTATCCAAATCCTCCAAAATTGCCTTCCTTACTCTTTCAAATTATGACCCCCTTTTCATTAATTGCTATATGCATATATTTATGTGTCTGTTCCTAAATATACCCTGCTCAGTCTACATGATATTACTTGTATGTTTTTAGGGCTGACCATTTGGTATCAAATAACCAATTGGTGTACTTTTCCCTGGAAAAGACTATTTCTCCCGCTCTCGGCCTTCCTTAGTTGCCGGTGGTTGTCTGGTTGAGGCCTCATGAGCATCTACCTGCCTCCCCTCCCCCCTTCTGGCCTGTCAGCCTTTGTCCTTGTTCAGCTCATGTTTCCGCAGCCATGTTGCTGAGACTCTATGGGTGCGGCTTCTGACAGTCTTAGGACAGTCTTACAGCGAACTCCCCGAGCCTCTGACTCTCAGTCTTTCCACCTCCTCTTCTACAACATTCCCTGGGCTTTAGGCGTGAGAGTTGTGCTGCAGACACATCTTTTGGGACTGGGCTCCACAACTCTTCATTTGGATTGGTTGTGGTTCCCTGTAATGTCTGTTGCAAAGAGGCATTTCCTTCATGTGGGGGGAGAGCTACGCCTATCTGTGGGGGTAAGGACAAGTATACAGTATAATTAGAGACCCTGCTGGTTTAGAAATGTGGTAGCTTTAGGTTCTCCTCCACGACTCCACTAGCACTGGGCAGTACTTTTCACGGTGAAAAGTGAGCACCTCCCCTGTTGAAGATAAATATTCTAATTTTGTCGGAAACAGGTATATCCTAGAGTCGTAAATTATGAGTGGATGAGCCTTGATGGAACGTTATGTGCCCACATAGGACGAGGCAGAAATACAGTCAGATATGCTAACGATACATCATTACACAATGGTTTGTTGCCTCAGTGGTGTTTTAAAAAGTCAGTTAGCAAATACTGGCTGAGTACATAACCATGTGCCAGGCCGTGCACGAGGTGAAGGTGCTGAGTACGGCAGACTAGTTTCCGCTCTTTGGGCAGGGCGGCACTTATAATTCAGTGGATAAGCAGTGCCAGACTGCTTAGAAAAATATGGTCTGGAGGTCAGTAACAAGTAATTCCCTGGCCTGTGTGTGCACACTCTCTCTAAAAATCACAATAACAGCGAGACAAGCAACTTAAAGCTAACCCATGGTCACAAGCAGGATTAATGCTGTGCTGCTGGGTAAGGCATCTGTGTCAGCCAAGAACCTAAACCGAGGAAGAATTGAGAAATGCACAGAGGCCGAGTGGTGGAAAGGGGAACAGGAAGCAGGTTCTGTGGTCATTTGTTAAAATGGATCAAAAGGGGCTTTCAAAGGGCACAGAATTAACAGGCAGCAAGGGTGGATGGTGTATGATCAGTGGGCAGAGAGAAGATTCTACTGCACAGGGTTTCCAAAGCGCTATGGAACGAATGGAAGGCGTGGCTGACAGACTGAGAAACTGCCAGTGTTTTTCACTACATACTTCAGACTTTCTGGAGCCACCCTGGAGTAACTGAGTGCCTAAGGCTCACAGGCGAGAGGGCAGATGATTTCAGTTCCATTATGAGCAACACACACAGAACCTCAAGGCCAAATGCACACACTGATAGGTAGCAGGCCACCCCTACAACACTTTGCGCCTCCTTTCCTGAAGGCCAGTGCAAGGGACCTAACAATCCCAGCATGACATCAGGCTGTCTCGAAGCCATATGAGATTCGTATGACTCTTAAAATCCTGAGGGTTGATCTAAGACTTTTTACTTAATGGGATTTAGGGCGAAAAAGTGGGCCCTCAATATACTATTCTCTCTTGGTCCTAAAGAAATTCAATTATAAGAATAATTGTGGAAGCAGAGCGTGGTGGCACACGCCTTTAGTGCCAGCACTCGGGAGGCAGAGGCAGGTGGATCTCTGAGTTCGAGGCCGGCCTGACATACATCCTTAAAAGCCATGTTGGGAACTGCATTGAGGAAAAGCGTTGAGCTTCTGATTCTTTGCCAGTGACTTATGATCAGTCATTTCTACCATCAGAGGCAGGTGCCCTTTCATACATGGGACAGATATGGTTTGCTAAGCTTCAGTCATTGAAATATTCTTTACATGTGTTTTTTTCAACAGTGTGTTCTGGAACGCCTGTTGGCTCCATGCTTTTGCTGTCGGCTTGAGATACCCATGGTTTTGGCGCCAAGCTTTACAAAGCTGCTAGAACCTAAAGATAACAGGTGTGCTCCTTTCTAAGGCAACCTCAAGGCTTCATTCCAGCTCCTCTCACTTTCCTGAAGGACTTCAGGGCCCCTCCCCCTACTCGTCCCAACCCCTCCCCTTGAATCATCAGTTCCTACATCTGCAAAGGGGTCGCTTCCACCTACATGCAAACCTACTAATTCTTTGTGTTCTTTATCTTCACCAAGGCTTACCTATCAGCCAGACCCACCATTCCCCACAGCATCTACCTCATACCCACGCCTACCCCTGCTGCCTCTATGTGGACACGTGTGATAACGCCTTGGCCAGCCTCTTCATCTGTTTGAGCCTCTCCCCTGTTCTTCCCAGCAGCCAGAGGAGCTTGTAAGTAAATACAGCACATTATTTATAAAACATTTTTTTTTAATTGACCTGTAGTGAGGGTGCCCAAATGCTTTAATAAAACTGAGCATGTACTAAACAAACGCACAGCTTTGGTCAGGCTTTGGGGAAGGAGACTCATCACCATCATGACAACAGGCACAGCTGCCAAGGAGTCCTGCCTGGGACTCTGCTTTCTCCTTCCTGATGCCCTCTTTTCAGAGATATCAAGGTACTTTACTCTTGCCTTAGCAAGACTCTGATTAACATTAAACATTTTTATTGTCTTGAACTAGGGTATCAAAAAGCCCAGGCTAGCCTGGAATTCCCAATCCTCCTGTTCCCATCTTCTGAGTTCTGGGGTTAAATGGTAAATTTTTTCCACTCACCTGGAAGGTATCTTGATTGTTTCAGATAGTACTGCTTAGCCGTTGAAGCAGTTGACGAGTTTGTGTCAGATTTTAAGGAAACAGCTGCATGTAAACTCTTGTTTTCCTCCTTGGAGTGGTTGGAGTATGGGAGTCCTGACTCTGGAAGCCTTGAAAGTCAGCATAAAGCACCAATCAGTATGAAAAGCCATAGTTCCGCCTCGTTTTTTTTCAGTGATTCAAATGCGTTGATGCAAAACCATGAGTCCTTTTGTTGTTGGGTTTCCTAAATGATAACTTCCTCCATATCTCTGCCAGCACAGGGAGTCATTTCTGACATAAGCCAGGATGTGGCAGAACCTCGAAGGTGGTTTGTGCTTGTGTAACTTAATTTACTTCTTCTGGAAGGGCTGCAGTCATGGATTCATAATGTTGGAAGACACGGCAGCCGTGGCCATTGCCATCTGCTACTGGAGTCATTTCTATCGAAGAAGGTTGTTTTGGGCAGGACTCTGCCCACTCTGGGGTAGCTCTAGGCAGCACTGTTTCATTGGGGACAGGTCACATTTCTGGCTTCCTTCCCTTCCTTTTGTTATGCTGTAGTTTTACTACTTAATGAAAGTTCTACTCATGCTCTGTCCTCTACCCACCTCTCTCCCATGGGATTGAACTCAGGTGCTTGTACATATAAGACAGTCTACCCTGAGCTACATATCCAGCCCTTTTTTCATTTGGAAAAAAAGGTGGCCCTGTTGCCCAGGTTTACAGTGTGTGTTACATGGAGGCTGTATACATGTGTGTGTGTGTTGTTGTTGTTAAGATGCAGGTTTTTTTTTTTTAACTCACTGTGTGGGTAAGTGGTCTTGAAGTCCTGATCCCTGATCCCCTTGTCCCACTTCCCAAGTGCTGGAATTAAGGTATGTGTCATCATGCCTGTTTTTGTTTGGTTTTATTATTATTATTATTATTATTATTGTTTTTTTGGGGGGTGGGCTTTTTGTTGTTTTCTTTCCTTTTTGAGACCAGGTATCCAGTGTATTATCAGGGCTGTCTTTGAACTGTTGTTATTTTTCTTCCTCAGACTCCAGAGTACTGGGACTCCAGGTAGCCAGCAAAATGTCCTAAGGTTTTCTCCTTGGCAGAAGGATGCATGAGGAGCTTAGCAGAGCCCCTGGAGCTGCCCACGCTGGGCTCCTCACTTCTGTCTCTGCTTAGCATCTCGAAAGGATATCCAAGACACAAGACCACACACTAAGGTGGCCGGGTGGAATGGCTCCTGCCTAATGGGACTGAATGAGGGTCTTCCCAAGTTCAGGTGCTGGAGGGAAGACAATGTATGAGGCTACACTGGGAGCTAGAGACTGACCAAGAGTGATACACCCACGTGCGCCCTGGACAGTCTTTATGTGTCTCAGAGGGAATGACCCACCCATGTGCGCTCTTGACAGTTTTTTTTTCTAATGTGTCATCAGAGATATACGAACTGCAAAGAGAAGACATCTGTATTACACAACATCAGCACTCCCCTGACTTGTGACATGGCTGTCCTTCTTACTCCACTTCTGTTCCGGAAATGAAAGCATGTTGGCCAGGTGCTCAACAACATTTGGCCCATCCTATTCAGAGCAATGCACTGATGGTGACCTAAGTCCTGAAAACGAGGAGCTGCTGGACACCAAGCTTCCAGGAGGGGTTCCAAGAATTATTTTCAAATGTTTTAACAGGAAGGGATCTGATAATGAAGTCTGAATGCCATCAGAGGGAACCATTAGCCTGGTAGGCTATGCTCTGCATTCTACATAGGAATGTGAACTTCCTGATCCATGAGAGTGAGCTGGGTGTGCCTGGCATGTACCTGTGGTCTCAGGAGACACAATGGGAGGACGACTGCGGCCTACAAGATTGAGACCTGCCTGGGCAACATAGCTGGACTCTGCTAAAATAAATAAATACATAAATAAATAAGAAAAAAAGCCACAGGAGCAATATAAAGGTCAAATAAGTACTTTGCCCTACACATGACCACATATCAGTAATTTATTACTGTGAGAAGTCAAGATTTTTAATTTTCCAGAGGTATGCATAAAGATTTCTAGGTTTTCTGGGTGAGGTGGCACACACCTGTGATCCCAGCACTTGGGGAGGCTAAGGCAGGCAGATAGATCTCTGTGAGTTCGAGGCCAGCCTGGTCTACGAAGCAAGTCCAAGACAGACAAGGCTACACAGTAAAACCTTATCTCGAAAAACAACAACCCAAAAAGATTCCTGGGTTTTGTAGAAGAAAGTATTAATCTTTGTCATTGTATTTAATGGGTGAAATAAAGCTGACGCACAGAAAAATACATTTCCCTGGTAAATGTGTAATCTTACCGAAATGGACACTCTTTCTTCTTGTCCTTGAAGGCACCCATGCTCGGCTTCTTGGAATGGGAGGCCCCGAAGTCGCTGTCCTCAAAGTCGTCACAGCTGTCTCCAGACTTGAAGACTGCCTGACCCCACCGTCTCCGAGCTCCTTTAAGGTTCACTGTGCTGACTTGCTTCTGTGGTAGTGGAAAAACAAAATCAGCCACCAAAGTCTTAAGCCGTTTAAGCTTTGCACGAGCAATTATGTCAGACGGTAAATTCTCAAGGATCCTTCCCTTTACAATTAGGTGTTACTTAATTGGTGTTAGCATGACTGGACATGTTCTGAGCAATGCACCCACAGGTAACTGCCTTCATGTGGACGTCAGAGAATGTACCCACAGGAACCTGGACGCTCTAGCCCACAAGCGCAGCTTTTTGTTCGTAGGCGACAAATGTGTTCCGTGTGCTACTATACTTAGTTCAGCTGTGGGGAGATGATGGTTACTACTTGTGTATACAAATGTAGACAAGGGACTGTAAAGAGCCACAGGGGTAGCACGCACAAGTGCCTGGATCCAACCCAGCCTCCTGGTACTTCTTCCCCCAGGCAACCCCTCCCCCCTCCGCAAGTGAGAGAAAGGCAGCAAAAATGAGTTCAAAATAAGGAACGGGGCATGGAGGTGCTGGAAGAACAGCTCACAAGTGCGCAGAGCTGGTGACACCTGGATGGGCGGTGGCAGGAAATGACACCTGCCAACCTCCACACTGTCATTTACTTTGTCAGGAGGAAGGCTTTGCAAACCAGACAGAATGAAAAGATGACATTCAGCTGAGCTTGGGCCTTCCCCAGCTGAACCGGCCTTGAGCCTGAAGCTGACTGCCCATCCTCTCTGCGCCCTGCCAGTAAATGGAATGATCCTGCATGTTTGGGAAGGGTGGGACGGGCCGTTTAAAATAATGCCTTTAAAAACAGGACGTCAGCGTTTGCAATCTATGCCAACACTTTGTCATAGAATGAGGGCAAAAATTCTAGGAAAGTGGTGGGTCATAGAAGCCCCCCATTTTTCACAGAGCTGTGACTCCATCCGGTGTGGTCGGAAGGGCATGCGTGCAGCACCAGTCACACTGTGCCGCAGGTTTCCATGGTTTCCCTCAACAGCGCAGTATCGGAGCCCAGTGACAGCGGGTCAGTACATAATTACTAATTCAGCGAGTGAGCAGCAGATTGATGGTTCTAGAAGGTCCTAGATGCTGTCCAAGAGCACCCTGCTTTTCTGGTCACTGTGAAGGTGCAGGAGAAGAAACAGATGACTAAGTAAGTCCACAGATGTCAGGATTGTTAGACCCAGAGGAGAAAGCCAGCGTTCAAGAACAGGATGTCTGGGAGGCAATGTGAGGTCTTTAACTCTCTGAACCCTAGAAACGGAATCAAGCTGAAGTTCAGAGTATGTGATCTACAGAAACATTTAGTAACAAAACAGACTCAGAAGTTTTCATGGATGGAACATCCATCCCGGTTCTGGACTACGTTAGCTTTATAAAAGGAAGGGTTAGACCACTTGGTGAAGACACCCAGAGGCTGAACACAGTGCATAGCCCTTAGAAACTGCTCAACGAACATGAACTTCCTTTTTTTTTCGTCAGCGTGCACCAGCATCCAGTGGCCTGAGTGGCCTTTCGCTTTCGGAAGTGTGGAAGCCAGGCATCCTGCTTTACCCTCCCTGGTGTGTACTGTCTGCCTCTAGGTCAGGCAGTTTCTTTCTGAGTAACGGGAAGGATGAGGAGGGGACACAGGGGCCTGGCAGAACAAGGGACACCTGCAGAAAATACGAGGGAGTTGGGGAACGTGTCAACCCAGAGGCAGACCATACAAGGGTTGTTTTCAAATACCTGCAAAGCTGCCTTTCTAGAAGGATGATACCTTCTGTTACACACCGCAGAGAGCCACACTCTCCCTTGTCCCTAATATTCAGAGCTGGATGGACACTCGTCTGGACCTTGAAAGCTATTCATTTTTTCCCAGCAAATATTAAAAATATAACCCACAGCAGGCACCTTCTTAATTCAGAATTTACATCGACAACAAAACAGACATATTTCTGATGTCACCCGCTTTCACCTCAGTAGAAAGGGGAAATGCTGCACAGCACAAGACACAGAAATTAGTGGCATGTTAGGGCACATTTGGCGTTAGTGGGAGATGGGGGTGGGAGGCTCACGTAAAATGGTGAGGGTTGCTGGGGGATAGGTCAGGAATTAGAGACAATGTTTGAAAAAAAAATCTGTGTGGGAGAGGTCCAATAGCAATAGTCAGCCCTGAAAATGTAAACCTACAGGTAACGTGGACATCCTCCACAGCCTGTACTTACACACCTGGGAACACACACACAGACCAGTAATTAAATAAAAAGGGGCCATGCTTTTGAAAGATACTAGGGAGGGATTGGAGAAGAGGAAGGAGAAAATAATGTAATCATGTTATAGCCTCAAAAATTTAAAGACTATATTAAAATAATATTAAAAAAAACTTTCCAGTCTGTGGTCATGATCAGTGAAAAACTGTGTGCAGTTCTTAGGGAAATCCTTCATATTTAGGATTAGTGCCTAGTTCAGAGCGCCTAGTTCCTTCTGTGAATTCTTAAAAGACCCCTGCAGCGTACAAATGCCATTCCTTTATCCTGGAGGTTTCTCCTCCTCATCGAAATGTATTGCCTCATTTCTTGCCAAACCTCAACCAAGGAAAGCAGGGGCTTTGACCAGCAGAAGCTCCACTCACACCCCGGTGTTGGAATGGCACCGACAATCTAACGTGTGGTTCTTGGCCACTTCCTACCCAGAATGCACCAGGCTGTGCCATCCTCTTGGCTACTCACCGTGGTTTTGAGGATGCTTGGAAACATTGTCTGTGGTGGTTTCTGGTGACCCTGCGGCCGTGGAGGAGGCTGGACGTCTGTGTTCTGTGGTGGTTGAATAGGCTGTAGTGGTTGGTGGCCCTGTTTTGGCTGGGGCTGCCCGGCAGGCTCATCAACTACTTTTGGCAAAGGTTTAGGATCCCGTTCACAGTAAGATGGCTTCGGCTCCAGTGGCTGCAGCTGCTTGTGGAGAGTCTGTTTTGCGTCCAGGTGGTGTATGGAAGGACCCAATACCTGACCGACTTGAAAATACGGGTGTTTCAATGCCTGGAAAAGCATGGGAATGTCATATCACATTGATGTAGCTAATCAGAATGTTTCCATGTTTAAGCTGTGTGCATCCTTAATATAGGGCAAACCACTCACTATTAAAAATGTTTTCTTGGTGGGAGTTCTGAATATTGAACCTGTGGCCTCAGACATGCTAACCATGAGCTCTGCAATAACAAGGGCCAAGCACCTAGGATCTCTGTAGGAAATACCCAGTTGGCCAATGCTGAGAACGTGAGGCCAGAAGACAAACTTCCAGGAGAAAGTCTGTGTTTTCTACCTGAAACACACAACTAAATCCACGTGTGGACATTCCCTAGATTTTGTCTCATCCTTTAAAAAAAAATTTTTTTTTTTTTAAATAAACTGCTAACATGTAATAATAGGCTAGGTGAACACTGAGAATTTTTCTCTGGCCAAAGCATAAATGACTCCGCGTGGGTTCTAGAGATTGACCTCAGGACATCAGCAAGTGCCCTAACCCACTGAGCCATCTTGCTGGACCCTCTTCTGTTGCTTTCACAGCTACAGCTTTTCCTCATCATGCTACCAAGCATTTCATTTATACATGCTGTTGGTGTTAATGGCTTAGTGGTTTTTTTTAGTTTTTAGTTTTTAATGGCTATGCACAAGCTCTTGTGATTTCTTCCTGTGCCAGGCTCATTGCTGTGGTGATCTGACTATCTCACAGGGCACTGCACCCCAACCCTGGCTCTCCAATGACCTGTTCAAATATGCCTGGATTAAACTTTCCCTTTTGTTTTTGTAGCTGGTCTTTAGAAAACACATATGCTAAGTTTTTAAAAATGGAGGAGTGATTTTTCACGTGGAATTTATATTAAGTAATATAACAAAACTTCTCATCTTTGCTAGTCTCTTTGGCTGGGGCTGCCCGGCAGGCTTTGTCCCTTTGGCAAAGGGACAGCATTTTAAAGACCAAGAGATTTGTGGAATAAAGTGCCCCAATGCTGCCCTCTTGTGGGAGTCAGACTTGAAACTCTGTTCCCTGATGTCCCCAGTGAACAAGAATCCTGCCCCTCAACGCAAAAGTCTCCTATGTGCCATCTAGGATAAACATGTGCCTGACCCACAGGCCACACCCAGAATTATCATTAGCGGTTGCCTCCTTCCTGGCTGTTGGGATCACATGGCACCATCAAGCAGTGGCTCCATTTGCAGTGTCCCTTGCTATGGCTTCGTTGCCTACAGTGGGCGTTTTGGGTTTTAGCACTTATTAATCTTGGTAAAACATTGGTTGATAATCGATGCCTTTGCAAAATTGCCAAACTCCACAAATTTAGAGGTTGGAGAGATGGCTCAGCAGTTAAGGGCACTGGCTGCTCTTGTGGAATCCCTAGGTTTGGTTCCCAGCCCCCCACATCGTGGCTCACAACCACCTATAGTTCTAGTCCCAGGGGAATCCAATGTCTACTGGCCTCTTGGGTCCTTTCATACATATGGTGCTTAGTCACACACACATACACATAAAGAAATAATTTTTAAAACCCCTCACAACTTTAAAAAGCCGTTACGGGGAGGGCTGCCTCACCTGGCTTGCGGTTGGTCGTTTCTTTGGATCCCAGCTCAACATCTCTGTCATAAGCTGAATAGCCTCACAACTGGCATTGGGAATGAGAGTTTTCAGGTTTATAGGAATGCACTGGGGAAAGCGGAAATTCATGGAGGATGCAAGCTGGTATCCTTCCGGCCAGTCACTCTGTTTAAGGGTATGCACAAAGAGAAAGTCGAGTTTTGTAATTAAGAAGGCATTCATGTGCAAACACTGCAATGCTGAGTCACATAAATAGGAAATACCAGATGCCTTACAGAAAGGACACGGACCTGAGAGGGGTTAAAAATGAAGAAGTATATCTATAAAGGTCGAAATGTCAAACTCTTTCTTTCTAGTCTCAATGACATCTCGGTGACTGAATAAATAAGGGCAAAGGCTTTACAAAGAGAGGCTGCTTTCTGTGACGACCCCACTATACATCAGAGAGTCCATCGTTAAAGCATTTGTGGGAAGGAAATGATAGTCAGCCTCATGCCTTAGCATCTTCACTTACCTGTCACCTAGAAGACCAGTGCTGGCTTGGTCAGGTTCTACTTATGCAGTTATATCTGTTAATTACCTCTTAGAAGGTAAGGTCTGCCACAAAGGTAATAGCCATGGAGAGGTACTCAGAATCCATAGACTGAATATCATAGCAGAGATATAAGCAGAAACCAGAAAAGGTTAAAATAAAATAAGGTCTTAGATTTCCAGGGGTTGATGAGTTGGGGGATGGGCATTACAGAGCTCTTAGCAGCCTATTTTGGAGTCACAAATATCAGTCCAAACTCTTCGCAGACTCTGTTATGACTCTTAAGGAAAAGCAAACACCTTTCCCCTCTTTGAATCCAGCGGGATTCCTACTTCTTGCAATCCTTATGGCTCCCCAACAAAATAATAAACTTTGCAAGAAAACCATTAAAGTATAAAACTATTTGAAATTGAAAGCATCACACATCTCTACTGATGTAAGAAATAATCAGAAGTCATAAAATGAAAAACTGCACAGTAGCAAGTGAGGGGGTACCCAAAGGTCATGACCACTCGGACACTAGAATACTTACTTTCTTGGGAGTCCCTAACACTTGGCAGATTTTAAAGATTTCATCGACTTCACTTGTCCCTGGAAAAAGCGGTCTAAACGTATATAGCTCAGCCATTATGCTTCCCACGGCCCACACATCAATGGGAGAGCTGTACACCGAAGATCTTAGCAAGACTTCAGGAGCACGATACCTGGGAAAACAGAACAGGACGGGGAAAGCTGTTTGCAGCGTAATGTCACAGGTGAACGGACAGCAGGAGTCAACTGTTTGCTCATAGCTTCCAGCAAGACCCAAGGACAAAGCGCCTTCCGTGTAACAGAGACTGTGGGCATGACACCTCGTTCCTGACTGCAGTTAGTGGGGTTCACTAGGAACGTAGAGAAAAAGGTCCGTGTGGCTTGAGGTAGGTCTTCATATGGATAATTGGGTAAATACTCCCTGAAACATTCAGAAAGATCCATGGACAAGCGTTCATGTATCCACACGTAGGTTGAGAAAGGAAAGATGGATTGATTGTGCTTGAGTAGTGAACTTTTTTTTTTTAAATCACATTGAAAATGCCCATACTATCATTACATTCCTTGTATAGATGATGCTATTTTTAATTTATAAGAGCAAACTCAAGTGGCAACCCCCTGTGACAACCCCTGCCTCCCACCCTCACTGCTCAGTTTTCTTCCTGAGCCTGGCTTTTATCGCTTAACACGATCTCCAGCTCAGTCCACTTTCCTAAATATGACGTAATTTTGTTCTGTTTTCTATTTATTTATTTATTTATTTATTTATTTATTTATTTACTTATTTATTTTGTGGTTTTGCTTATTTTTCCCTCCCAATACAGGGTTTCTCTGTGTAGCCCCGGCTGCCATGGAGCTCACCCTGCAGACCACGCTGGCCTTGAACTCACAGAGATCCACTTGCCTCTGCCTTCAAGTGCTTTGATGAAAGGAGTGCGCCACCACTGCCCGGCTTTCATTCTTTTTAAAGGATGCCCACAGCTCCATCGTGTCCATATAGCAGTTTCTTTCTATATTCCTCACCTTTCTCAACATGTACTAACACTGCCCCGGACACGGCTGTGCTCTGACCCGCTCTACGTCAGCAAGGATGGCCCGTTAAGGTAGACAGCAAATGTCAATGAATGTTTTGTGCGCGTTCATCTTCAGCTTCCCCTGATAAACAGAAAAGTACCTTTTTTTTTTTTTAAATTAAAGTTATGTTTTGTTTGTTTTTGAAGACTGTTCTTGATGGGCTATTTTCTTCAAAACAATTCTTTCAGAAAACAAGTTTTCCTAACTTCAAGGCCACTGTTACAAACTACCACAGCTTGGGGTGGCACATGGCCTTAATCCCAGCACTCCGGAGGCAGAGGCAGGCAGATCTCTGAGTTCGAGGCCAGAATGGTCTACATAGCAGAGTTCCAGGATGGCCAGGGCTACACAGAGAAACCCTGTTTCTCAGGAAAGCTAAAATAAAAAATACCATCTATATAAATATTTTCCCTCCTCACTGACCCCCAACTTCTTGTCCTCTCTCCATGTAATTTTGTTTATAAGAATGTATTGCCATATGATATATGTACACACTTGATTTTGCAAATATACACACAGGAAAATGTGCTTAGGCTCACAAGTGCAGCTTGATAAATTTTCCACAAATAAAACACACTCATAGGTCCGACAACCAGGTCAAGAAATGTGTGCTTGAATGTATCCCTGAAGGCTCGTGCGCTCACCGTTCTGACGTAAACCCACAGCTTTGCCCAGCCTTTCGCTTGAAGCAAATGGCAGCACTCAGGGGACGCTCTCTTGTTGTGTGGCCTCTCAGCCTCAGCGTTAACTCTGAGAAGCACCACCGTGCTGGATGTCGCGGGCTGTCCCTTTCTCCTGCTGAATGGCCTTCCCTTGGGTGGAAGTCCCTGTGTTGATCGGGACTGTGAAACATGGTTTTGGTAACTCATACTATTTGGCTTATTTGTGCCTTGGCTGTCATGTAAGCAGCACTCGGCAGAGACTCCTCTTGTGTTTTGTTCACGGCCCTGTTCCTAGCGCCTACAGGAATGTTTAGTGCACAGTAGGTGTTCAGGGTTATTTGATGAAGGATTAAGTGAAATCTTTTTTCCTTCTCTTGTTTCATTATTGGAATAGCTGTGAGCCAATTCTTCCCTATCTGTAAAGAGGATAAAATCTCTATATTTTATTTTAAATACCCAATATGGACACTGTCGAAAGATAATTAACTATTCAACATAGGAAAACTTAGACATAAATGTTACCATCTGGTCGACACATAGTCAGTATATGGTGGCTGTGATCTTAATTCTCTTGCTTGTACAGGCTTTTTTCACAGGGACATGAAACCCGAAAACTTGCTCTGTATGGGTCCAGAGCTGGTGAAAATTGCCGATTTTGGACTTGCAAGAGAAGAAAGCGCACTAAATCATCATATTCATTATCATCATATGACTTTCTGCTTTTTATAGATTTGACCGAGCCCTTCTATTGGCAACGTGGGGTTAGGAGAGGAAACTCTCTGCGGAGGAAGTAAAGGGGTGCGGGAACTTGCCTTCAAAATAATTTAGGAGAAGGTTCACATGACATGTAAAAATAATTGCCCATTTGACTTGTAGTTTTCATTGTGATGTCAGTAGATGAATCCGAGGGATAGACACTGACACATTGGACTATCTCTTAGTATTTCTATAACCTTATGGGATTTGGATATATCCTTATCACTACTGTGTAACAGATGAGAAGAAAGAGGCGCTGACAGAAGCTCGGCCATCGCTTCCCGATTCGGCTTACGTCAGTGTATTTGGCCTCCTTACTGCTGTTACACTGTGGCTTTGATACAAGGCTCCCCAAGTTTAATCACATATTTGAAAAGCCCATTGGACAAAAGAGCTCCGCCCAGATGAACCAATCTCCTCATTTATTCAACAGTTCACTTTTCCCTGGTGGCTAAGTCTTTGATAAACCCAATAATGGAAATGCTTGTAATTACTGACTAAATATATGAGTTAGATGGTCAGTTACAGAGGCTAGTGGGCAGCCCAGAGGAAATGGCAGGAAAGAGGAAACCATGAGGACTCTGCTTGCAAGTCAGCCTTAAGGAGATTCTTCCCTAAGGTGGGCTCAGGTGTTGGGTTCTGAAGACCCCACTATGGAGAAGAACTGTGATTAGTAACAAAGGTATTCCGTGTAGGTTTGAGACCCAGCTAAGAGTCAACATTTTTAACCATTGCCTACCTAGCTTCCAAGAGCAGCAACATTGTGACACAAACCCACAATCCTTTCTCACTAAATACCCAAATGGCTAATGATTCTAAACAGATACTCAGTCACAGCAAATGTATTAGATGTCCAAGCTAATAATTATCTTGGTTTGATGGCCATACAACTCACATAAATTAAATGAATAAGAGATGCATAGAAAATAAGCACCAGCGCCTATTCCACTCCAAGAATAGAAGTAGCTAAATGTAAATGCTAAGGACAAGTGTAAAACACCACACACGGAGACTGCACATTACTTAAATCCGTGTGAGGAGCCATGGTGATCAAAGGCTTCTAATCTTTTTCAAAATGAGTTTGGAGGGAAGACTGTCATTGAGACAAGAGAAAAGGAACAAGCCCCCAGGACAGGCCTGGCCCAGAAAGCATCAAAGGGAAGAACAACAACAAATCACAGTTCTGTTCTGCCAAACAGAACAGCAGAGTATGATACAGAAAAGCAACATCAGCCACAACCTGAATTGGCATCAGACAGGGTTTCTTCAAGATGGGATCCCCTAAGGCCATGCATGTTCTCGCCATGCCTGCTGTTCTCTGTGCAGCATATCAAACACAACTGGTTACTTTTATCTAAAGAGAGAATTCTTTCCCTAACCTGCCAAAACCCCCGCAAGAGAGACTTATGTTTTTTTTTTTTTTTTTGTTTTTTGTTTTTTCCTAAGTTTCTCTGAGATTGGGGGAGAGGTGCGAGGCAGGAGACTGGTGATCAGACTTCTAAAATATCTGTTATGGCTAATAGATATCTATGCATAATTATAAAAATATAATGTTTAGATGACAAAGTCAGGCATAATTTAGCAAAAGACATGTTATTCCTAAGTGTGGTCCTGGTAATACCCTATGGAGACGGAAAATGTGATTATGAGGAAACTTACCATGTTTATGGATAAATGCCAGCCCCTGCAGGATTTGATACATAATATTTCTGATAACTGACTCAGGGAACAGCTTATTTCTGGAAGAAATGAATAGTCCGTTAATCCACCAAAGTTGAACAAGGCTGACACTCCTCCTGCTCTATAATCTCTATGAATATAATTGTAGTGCTAAATGTCATAGATTTAAAATGGGAAACAGTGATTTTTTTTTTCGGTTTTGTTTTGATGCTTCAGAAAACCTCAAATCCAACAGCCAATGTCTTATACAAATATTCAAGAGTTAAAAATCTAAATAATCCAAATAAGAGCAAAATACCCTGGGAAAACTACCAGTGTCAATGAGCAACTAGGCAGGCTTTGAGAATTAGGGCCTGACGTTTTAGGCCCTCGTGGTTTAGAGATACAGTCTTGCTGTGCAGCCCAGGCTGGCTTTGAACTTACCATCCTCTTTCCTCAGCTCCCCAGGGTTGGGATTACAAGCTTGTACTACCCTGTCTTTCCACGCTTCAGCTTTATACTGCATATTGGTACCATCCAATTAAAATACAGTTAGGAGCTCCACTTGGGGGCCATGTTTAATTTTCCTAGCAGTTACATTTTAAAAAAGCAAACAAAACAGGAAACATTAAACTTATTTAAAAATTTTGACTATCAAAAAAATGCATAAGTTATAAGATACATAAAAATATGCATATAATGTGATTTTCCATGTATGTATATGATGCTTAAGTAGAGGTAAATATTTGTTTCAAGTGTCATTTCATGGTTAAAAAAACTTCAAAATTCTTTCTTCCACATTTTAAACTATGAAATTTATAATTCTTACCTACAGCCATCTATTATCACACCACAGAAACTCCAGAACTTTTTACTTCTTAGTACCCATTTATTGATCTTTCTCCATCCCTATCTTTCCACTCAGTTTAAAAACTGCATTTGTTTCAACAAACAGTCAATACAAAGCTGTTGTTGCTGCTGTTGTTATTCTTGGTATTTGTAAGACCTGGTCTTTTGTAGCCCAGGCTATTTTTATGGTGCTGCACAGCTGAAGATGGCTCTGCCTTCTGGACTTCCTTCCTCCGCATCCCAAGTGCTGGGATTATGGGGGTGACTACTGTGCCTGGATAATATAAAATTTATTCATAATTTTTATGACTCTCCAGACTTGGTGTATAATTTGTTTTGCATTATAGCACAGCTCAATGGAATCATTTTAAGGGCTCAAAAGTCACCTGAGACCAGTGGCTCCAGCCTTAGATGTGATATTTAGATAATGTTCATGGTAAGGCCCTGATGAGGATTAAATTAAGTTAGCGACACTAACTTTTATCACTCATATCTCGAGTGAATTTCATCAGTCCCTCTGCGGGGGCAGGGTGGATGTATGCAGGTGAGCATTTACTTGTAGAGGCCAGAGGTCAGTGTTGGCTGTCTTTCTCCATCACTCTGCCTCTCTTCTTTGAGACAGGGGCTCTCACCGAAGCAGGAGCTCGCTCATTGGCCAGACTGTCTGACAAGTGAGGTCCAGGGCTCCACCAGTCTCCTCCCCCATGCTGGGGGTTACAGCCAATCACCTGGCTTTTCTGTATGGTTCCCGAGGATCGGAACTCATGCTTGTCCATTGGGAACTTTACCAAATGAGCCATTTCCCTGCCTCATCTTTTCCTGAAAACTACTTTATTCCTTTCTTCATTTATTCACAACTCATAAGATGATTGACAGGACAATAAAGACAACATCCTCATTTTTGCCGACAGCCAGCTTTACTCTTGAGCATAAGACTACTGATTCCTTCATTCAAAAGGGGTGGGATGGTTGGAAGTTTATATGATATCTTCAAGTTGGCTGCTGAGGAATTACAGTGGACGAGGTGTAGCTATGTCATAGCTGGGTCAGCAGTGTTAAATGCTACCATTTGAGGAAAAAACAGCATCGGTTTATTTAAACCTGCCTCTTGGAATTATAAACCAGCATATCATCAAATATGATGCATGGAAAGGAGCCAAGGAACACATGGGAAAAATTACAGGAAAATAGTTTTTATAAAATAAAGACATACCTGTCTTTCATTAACTGATAGAGGTTTTCTTTCATATATTCAAATATAAAATAGAGATGGTCATTTTCTCTGATAACTTCTTTTAGTTTAATCACATTGGCATGATTGAGTTTCTTCAGGGACTGTAAAACAGGACAGCAGTACAATTCTTAAAGCAAATTTATAGAGGTCGGCAGGACCTTATCTGTTCTAGTTAGGTACCTCAAGTAACTGTCCATTTCTTTTACAGTCATTAATAAAATTACATGTTAATAGCTATATAATTTTAAAAGACCTTGGAGCATTAATTTAAAGCAAACATTAGATGACTTAAACAATGAGTATTGAGTGGAAAGGGGAACCAAGTCCACAGTAGCTGCCTCAAATTTTAACTGGCCACTTTCCCCCTCCATCTTTCTTCTTCTTTTCTTCTTCTTCTTCTTCTTCTTCTTCTTCTTCTTCTTCTTCTTCTTTTCCAAGACAGGGTTTCTCTGTGTAGCCTTGGCTGTCCTGGGATCGCTTTGTAGACCAGGCTGGCCTCAAACTCACAGAGATCCACCTGCCTCTGCCTCCCTGAGTGCTAAGATTACAGGCATGGGCCACCAAGCCTGGCCCCTCTTCATCTTCTAAAGTAGTCACTTTTTCTTTCTGACTTACCCATGTCAGACTCCAGGAAAGTATCTAAAAACTCACCCCAGTCACACAGAACAAAACATAAGAAAATGGGATGTCATGATTTAGAAGGTTGCCTTTCCTTTGAGAGTGTGAGTTCTAAAGTCATCTTTAGATAGAGGAAGGCCTGGTTGTTTTCTGTTCCCCACTAACATAGAAGAGTCTTGAATAGTGGTTCTCAACCTGTGGGTCACGTCCCCCCCCCCCTCCTGCCCCCCCCCCCCCGAGTAACATATCAGATACCCTGTATACAAGATATTTACATTACAGTTCCTAACAGTAGCAACATTACTACTTAAGTAGCAGTAAAGTAATTTTATGTTTGGGGTCACCACAAAGTGAGGAACTGTATGAAAGGGCCCCAGCATTTGGGAGGTTGAGAACCACTGCTCTAGAATAAATTAGCTGCTTCCGGGGACATGGTGTCTTGTTGGGGCCTTGACCTCTTTACCTTAACTTCTCGCAGGTTCATACACTCATCCCAAGAATAGAACTTTCTCTTCATCCTGAAACAAAGGAAGGAACATTTAGTGTTCAGGACTGAAGGCTCCAAGAAACAAATTTCTCCATTTCTGGTGTTCTTGATTATGGCTTTACTTTGGGTAACACCCTCCTTCTCCAAAAGAAAATCCCCTCCTTCCTGCACCATCTCATGGTGCCAGGTCTGGCCGCCATTCTGCTTCAACACAGACATTCGGCCCTGGAGCGTCCTTTCTGAGTGAGTTCTTAACCATGTTTAGTCAGTTTAATTGTGATTTTTCACTTGCACGTTTCCTTTCTTTCTGCAACTCCAAAGATAAACACAAACACTGTACTTCAGAGCTGGGGTAGGGTGAGAATTGCAAAGTTTGGAGGTAAATCCAGCGAGGGATTTGGCCTGACAACTTTACATAACTACTTCAGCGTTGGGTAAGTGGCCAAAAGAGAATTTAAATCAGGGAAAGAGACAAAAACAAAACCATGAGTCATCCAACTAGGAAAGAGTAGCCTTTTTTTTTTTTTTTTCTTTTCTTTTTTTCTTCTTTGTGGGGTCAGGGCAGAGGCTGACTCCAGAGCATTTCTCACATTTTGCTCTTTTACTTTACTTACCCTCTACCCCTTAGAGACAGCAAAATTGTTCAGCATTAAGAAAGCAATTCTACTACATATATAATAGATAGATTGTATTTTTATATGAATGGTTTTATTGTCACCAAAAGGAACAAGAAAACTCTGTGCTAGGTGTGGAGGTGTACCCCAGCACTCAGAGGACAGAGGCAGGTGGCTCTCTGTGAGTTTGAGGCCAGCCTGGTCTACACAGTGAGTTCCAGGCAGCCAGGACTACATAGTGAGTCCTTGTCTCAAAACAAAATAGGCTCCCCTCCTCCAAACCAAATCACCCAAATATGTCCATGATAGTATGCAGTAGAATGACTCTGCAATGGTAAGTCTTCACTGTCAACTTGACTGGGTTTAGCATCACTGAAGGAAACACACCTCTGGGTGTGTGCATATGTTTCCAGAAGTGAGAAAGCATCTCGAATGTGGGTGGCCTCGACCTACCGGCTGGGATCCCGGGCTGAATAAAAAGGAAAAAAGGGTAAACTGAACACCAGAATTCACTTAATTCTACTTCATAATAGGTGAGGTAACATGACCAGCCTGTCCCCACGCCATCCCTGCGCTGATGGACAGATTGCATCCCTCCTCTAACATCGAGGATCCTTTTGAAATCAGAGTTTCATTTAGAGTAATTCAGGCCCTATAATGAAGCTTATGAAGTGGCTTGACGAAATTCAGAACTTGCCCAAAGATACTTTACAGGGTTTCTAGAAAGTTGTTACTTTCCAAAAGGTAAATCTAACATAATGGCTTTAAAGTAAAAATCAATTCAAACAAAGCCATATAAGAAAACTAGTTTAATAAAATGATTACACTCAACCCAAAGTGCACAAAGGAGATGCCGATTCCTTAAAAATTGATTTCAGAATTTTAAAAGCATGTTATCTTGGGACCAGTGAGATGGCTCAGTGGGGAAATTGCTGCCACGTCTGATGCCTTGAGTTAGAGTCTTCCAGACCCCGTAGGAGGAAGAACAGACTCCTACAAGCTGTCCACTGACTTCCACCTGCATGCTGTTGCATGCAATAATAATACATGTAATAATTTTTTAAAAAAAGTATTTGCTCTTTAGAACTCAGGTAAAAACAAACTGAAGTTAATTTTTAAAATTTTAACAGACAATCTAACTTAGCTCTGACACATACCATCTTAAGTCCTCTCCCGTGTTTCTCTAATATGCTGCCTTCTTTGCGGCAGTGACTACCCGTCGGGCACACACCCCTAGGGGGCGCCCTCCAGCCAGTAGGCTGCTCTGCCCTTCCTCCTGGCCCATCTGTGCTGTCTCCACATCCTTGTCTCCATCCTAAAATTCTGAGCCAGGTCTTTCTGATTCAAGTGCTTTGTGGCCTTTTAGTCCTAAAGGTCCACAACTCCTTCCCTGGGATTCATGATTTTTGGCTCCTCCCCCTCCTCTGACCCATTTCCTCTCATTGATCTCAGCTCCTCAGTTCCCAGAATCTCCTAGAAAAGTTCTTGCCGTTGAAGTATTCTTCCCTCCTTCCTTAAAATAAAACAGCCATGATAACTCATGAAGGCCACCGCTGTGGAAGGGGTTCTCAACCTGTGGGTCACGCCCCCTTTGGGTATTGACCAACCCTTTCACAGGGTTTGCTTAAGACCATCTGCATATCAGATATTTATATAACATTACCAAAATTACAGTCATGAAGTAGCAATGAAAACAATTTTGTGGTTGGGGGTCACCACAACATGAGGAACTGTACTAAAGGGTCACAGCATTGGCAAGGCTGAGAGCTGCTTGCTCTATGGGAAGCCTCCTGTGACAGTTTGCTGCCGTCAATCTCTGCTCCCGAGACTAACCTTCCACCCCTCCCCCATTCGGTAGATGTGCACAGAGACTTTTACTATGTGCGAAAAATAAATCCCTAGATAAGTTACGTTGGTTAAGCTTTTGGTATGTTATTTGCCAAAAGCATTCCTAAATTCTATATTATTGTAGTTTCTTCTCTTCCCTTCATGTATCTGACTTCTTCTGGTGTGTGACTTCTCAGCTCTCCTAAGCCATTACTTAGGTGTCTCGTATGATACCAATCATCATTTTAGGAAGCCCCAAAGGTAAAAACAATCACTGTGTTTTTTCTCCCTAGAAAGAATAAGCAATATGAAGAATATTTCATTATGTTAAAACCAAAAGATGGTAATCTTTCATGATAGCACAACGCCTAGTCCCTTTGTTCATCTTCTACCCACATCTCCAAAAGCCATGGCCATGGAGAATGTTGTGTGTTTCTTTCTAGGCCTTCAGAGACAGTTTCATGAATGAGTCTGCTTGTGGATGCTAACATGTTTCTCCGGGTAACTGAAGAACTGTAATCTCTATGAACGTGCATGTACAGTTTCCTATTGTTTTCTCTGACCTCACACCTCATTTCTTCTGCTCTGTCTCACTGAGCATTTAGGATCTCTGGCACAATCCAGATCAGGAAGAAGAGCAGCAACTATTTGGCATGGAGAGTGACTTTGCTGGTCCTGCTTCTGGCCTTTTCCTTTATTCTGGTAAGTTATACAGGCTCAATCAGGTTAGAGGAGTTTCTTTTTATTCCTGTTTGCAAATTATGTTTTTTTTTCTAAAATTTATTTATTCATTTATTTATTTACTTTTTCAAGGCAGGGTTTCCCTGGGTACTGTTGGCTGTTCTGGAACTCACTCTGAAGACCAGCTGGCCTGGAACTCACAGATGTACCTCCCGAGTGCTGGCATTAAAGGTGTGTGCTACCACCACCTGGCATTAAGTATGTTTTTTTTTTTTTTTTTTAATGATGAATAGTCACTCAATTTCCCTAAGCCATTTTAACCTCCTTTCATTCACATGACATTATGCATTTACTTATTTGATAACAATGGCCAGTTGGAGATAGATTTTAAAATAATGCCATCGTGTACGTAATGTTTCAGATCAGGACATTTAAAAGTAACTGTTAATGCATTTATCCTTTACATTTTCATTCTTTAGTGGACTCTGTCTGCAAGTCTAACCTGGGAAAGACAGCTGCAATGTCAGGAACATGCTCAGGCCACCGTCGGAAGAGGCCCGGGAGGAGAGGAACTGAGGCTCTTGCCCTCAGTCAGCCCCGACTTGACACTCACAGTCAGGAGCCAGGCTATGCCTATGTCCGAATGTATGTGTTAGGGTCCTACTCCCCAGGATTTTATATATCTGTGCGTTGAGATTTCAGGAAGTCCAGTTCAAGTGAGGTGATCGGGCTGGCATCCTTACAACTGGGAGGAGAGCTGGATAGACATGCATGGTCGGCGAGCCAGGGAGCGAGGTCGGAGGAGATCCCTTTCCCACCGCCTGTGGAAGGGTACACCTCTGCCCATGCCTGAAGGGGACTTTTTAGGATCCAGAGCTTCATGGCAATAAATCTGTCATTTGAAGCAGGGTGTGGTACCACACTTCTGTAATGTGAGTGAGTGGGAGTTTAGGCAGCAAGAGTTTAAATCCTACATAGTGAGCTCAAGGCCAGCAAGGCATGAATGGATGAATGAATGAATGAACGAATGATTTGTTTTTTTAAGTCACCCAGTCTGTGGGAATTTTGTGGAATGGAAAATATCCAGTGCATCATGGGATGGATTGTGTTTCCTTACTCCCAAATTCCTATGCTGAAGTCCTGATCCCTAATCCTTCAAATTGGGACCACATTTAGAAATATGATTTCAGTTTTATTTATTTGAGTTCTTTGCTTGTTGCTACTGTTTTGAGACATGGTTTCCCTACATAGCCCAGCCTAGCTTTGAACTCATGATTCATGCCTTAGCCTCTTATATGCTGAGCACCACTGTGCTCAGCTGAGATAGTCTCTGAGAGGTGGTTAACATACACTGGACTCTTTAAGAGAGGATCTAACTCTTGTACATCCATATCAGGAGAGAGCATCACAAACATAAAAAGGAAAAGCATCTCTCTCTCACACACACACACAGAGAAACAGACAGATAGAGAACAGAGAGACAAAGAGACAGATAGAGACAAAAACAGAGAGACCGAGAAGTTGTGGCTATAAACATGTTTTTTTTTTGTTTGTTTGTTTGTTTTAATCCCAGGTGTGGGATGTGGGACTGATTCAGATGGTCCACAGCAGTAAACTATTTCCCTCATGCGGGCTCTAAGAGGAGCTCTTTGCCAGCTGCAGATAGTTTAAATCTGAGGACTCTGGGGATAGAATAAATGCCAGGGCCCAGGGAGTGTGGAGAAACTGAGAAAAAACAAGGCTGCTCCTGCAGTGAGACAAGAAGTTGGAGATCTCCTAAAATGAGGATTGGGCTGGCTCCAAGGAACTTGATGACCCTAACCAGCAGGAAGCAGCTAAGAGAACTGCACCCCATCTCCCACTAACCCTTTCTCCTACCTGGTGTTGGGGTATTGGAAGGGACTGGGGTGGAGTAGGGAGAGAGATATATAAGAAACGTAAATAACAGTTTTTTTTTTAAAGTATGACAACACAGAGAAAACAGCATGACACACACACACACACACACACACACACACACACACACACAGAGAAGAGCATCTGGATACAGACAACTGGCTACAGGGAAGCCTCAGAGGCCAGTCCTGCTGACACTGTGAACTTGGATTTACTGTCTTCAGAAATAAATGCCTGCTGCAGCCACGCAGGCTGCCACAGTGAAATACTGAATCACATTGAGAGAGGATGCTTCAGCCCCACCAAACTTCTGACGACCACATCCCTGGTCCATTTCTGGGCTACCTCATGAGAATTCAAGCTGTAACCACTCAGTAGCCACCTGTTCATTCCTGATGCACCAAAATAGTGTGGATTAGGAAAACCTAGTCTCATTTTAAATTATCAAACTTTAGCGTGTTTTGTTATGTAGCAATAAATATAATCAATCACACTAGAAATGATAGTCGATTCTATTCACTTCCATTTGTCTCAGGAAAATAGTATATCCTTTTCAGAATTCAATTTGACAAGACCCACCTTATCTTGGAGCCATTTTTTTTCTTCAAGAAACAGTAAGTTTTCGTCTGTTCCCCATGTTTAAATATAAGAAACATTCACTACCTCCAGTTTTACCCCAAATGTATCAGGCATAAAATGCAGAGCACACGGAATTACTTGGTTTATTAATATAATATGGACTTAGCCTTCATGTAAGTATGTTCCTTTTTGAGAATTGTATTTTCTTCTAGAACAGTGTTCTACATCAGTCAAACTACCTTGTGGTCTGGATTGAACCTCTCTCCCTGCCACTGCAGGCTCTCAAGCAAGCAAAGGAGAACAAACACCCGAGATTTATACCAACTCCACAGGGCGACGCGCGCACGCACCTCTTAATGGCCACCAGCTCCCCGGATTCGTTGCTCTTGCCCATAAGCACACTCCCGTATGTGCCGTCCCCCAACTGCCTCATGGTCGTGTATCGGTTCATCTTGGGAAAAGGTAATGCAGCAGGGCTTGTTGACCGAGGTGTCTTCCTTGTTGAATAGAAATCTAAGTACTTCTTTATCTGAGGTCCTTTTTCCTTCTTGTTGCTACACTGGTCAGAGGCTTGTCATCATTAAATACAGCTCTTCCTCAAGATCGGGTAGGCTCATGAGATACAGCAATAAGGAATGTGGCAAAGAGACACTGCATCCATTCTTATGGATACTCTGCGGAAAACCAAACCAAGGATATTTTGATTACAGGGTCCTGACAACACATTGCTGACACACCCTCGATGCAGAAAAATTAGAGCTGCTCTAAAGGCATAGTTGGAGGTCATGTGTACTCTGTGAAGGAAGCCCACACACAACAGACTCCAGGCAGCTCAATGCTCCCCTGTCCCTGACTGCGCAGTCTCCCCATGTTTGTTCAAGGTGGGCTTGTGTGATTCTCTTTTAACTGGCTATAATCTATGTTGTTCCAAAAGAGCCAGGGAAAAAATCAGACATCTAACCCACATCAATTTTTTGAAAGCATTTTTTTTTGATTACTTAGTTTAGCATGCTAAATGTCAATTGTATTTTTTATTTTAAAATTCCTACACTACAACTGTCCAAGTTAGGCCAGGTAAGTGAAAGACAGGCTATGGAGGGGACAGTAATATAAAGTAACTTCTTACTTTATTTAAATAACACACCACTGTCTTTTACATTAAACCAATAGAAATATAAGTCTGGTTATGTATACATTCATACAAAGAGATAAGAAGTGCAAACCCCACTTACATACGGACACGTGAGGCCGGCGAGCACAGAGGACAGTTTAGCTTGGGACTCTCTGGCTTTTGGGTTATGCACGCCCACCCCCTCTTGTAATACCACACTCACCTGCACATACCATGCTCGCACATTCCTTTCCAGACAATGCACCTTGCAGAATCAGAACCCCCTTGAGCTCCCACCTACACCAGGCACACGTACTCCCATCTCTGAACAACAGTGTGTATTTCTTTACCCCTAGTGAGGATCAAATTGAAAACTTTCTATTTAACTCTACTCCCAACATTTACTGGGCACAGAGGGCCCAGTGTGGCCTGAAGCGGTGTGTATTCACAGTGAGGCAGAATTGTGTCCTCGAGTGAACTTTTAGGGTGAATCTACTGTTTGCCAACTTATGCCAATGCATAATTGGGCATGCATGTGATTAAAATAAACACTATGGGAAGGGACAGGCAAATAGACAAAATGAATACACCATCTAGTCCTGCAATCAAAATTGAGAACCACGCAAATGCTGTCCCTTAGTAACCAGCACCTCCTGCTCTGGAGCCCCAAGCAATTTGAATCCCACGGCCATCTGGCCCACAGTCAACCTTGACTTGGCGCCTTCTCTAATCTGTACTTCCGCTTCCCTCTCAGCAAAGTGATCTTGCTGTGTTGGCAGATCTGTGTGAGCCCCTACCTTCAGTTCATTGGATAAGAAACAAAGAGCCAGGAAACACCCAACCACAAATAGCATAGGTATGTGTATATATGAGCAAATACATGTGTTTATTTGGGAATAGATGCGATTACATTTAATGGAAAGCTGCATCTCACTGACTTACTGAGTCTGAGGCAGAGGACTGAAGATTGGGGGCTGGAGATGCAGTTGGCACAGTGCCTGCCTAGCACACACACAGAGCTCTGGGCTGGTCCCCCAGTACCAGCTGGTGGCAGGTGCCTGGAATCCCAGCATTCAGGAAGTGGAAAAAGAGGATCAGAAGTTGAAGGTTCTTTTCTACTACACAGCAAGTTTGAGAACAGTCTGGAACATGGGAGACTCCACCTCCAAACAAACAAACAAACAAAACAAGAAGACCAAGGCTTGAATCTCCACCTGCCTTCCCAATTCCTGTATAGTGATCTGAAAAACTTTTGATGGACTGGCACTCAATCTGTGTAACTAAATGGCAGCCCAGCTCTAAAATGCTGTGAGACTATGGATATATACCTTTACAATTATTAATTATGGGCCTGAAAGATGACTTAGTATGTACAGGTGATTGCTGCCAGGCCTGATCACCCAAGTTCAAACCCTGGGACTCAAGGACCCATATTAGTAGAAGGAGAGAAATGATTCTTACAAGCCCCCCCTTACACACACACACACACACACACACACACACACACACACAACTATTTATTTGTGGCACAGGGCATTGAACTCAGGGCATTGCATAGGCAAACACTTTACAACTGATCTACACCCTCAACCTTGAATACGTATTTTAAAACTCCTCTCCCACTCACGGATCAGCTTTGTAATCTGTAATCTTTTTTGTTATAGCAAAAAAGAAAAAAAGGAAAGAAAAAAAGGTCACAGGTCACTGACAGGCACATACTCTCTTGCAACTGAGAGCTGGGCAAAACGACTAAAACAAAACAAAAACTTGGCTAAGTTGCTGTTTCTCTCATTTCTTCAAGATCACAATTTCTTCATGATCTTTGTCCTAATGACACGCGACTGGCATGAAGGTGACAAGAGTAAGGCAAAGAAATGACCTGTGTCATCCTGCTGCGGTGTCTTGATGCTCCCGCATGCTCTGACCAGTGACTGCAGGATAAACTCGACAGTGAATGGGTAACCCCAGCGCTCTTCCTCAGGAGATCAGCTCTACTGAACTGCTGACACTGCGGGCCAAAGGAGACCCCGTCAACAGAAATCCCTGCTTACTTGTTTGCACAACAAAAAACCCCAGGAAACTTTCTGGAAAGGAAAGGAACTCCATTATTTGACATTTTCTATCTTCAAGTCACAGAAATAAAGCTCTGAGGTCCCTGAAAGTCATTACATCCTTTATGCATGGCAAGTGCTTTCCAATGAATGATCGCTAATCTGCGTGGAAACTAGTAGAGTCTGTGCCTTAACCAAGAGATAGAATTAACACAGAGCAGGGGAGTCCAGTTCTGCTCGTCCTGTACGGAACGGGACAGTCTTTCCTCTGCTGGCCACACCCTATGTGGCAGGAGAGTTTGGACACTCCTTAGCCCCACTTGATCATGTGACTTGTTCTGGTCAATAATCTACGAACAGAAGCAATGTGGTCAGGAATGGGGTATGTCCCAGCAGGGTCCTGGGATAAAGAAGGTAAGCAGAGTGGGGACAGGGCTAGGGCAGAGTGCAGCTAGTCAGGGATGGGAGAGAAACAGAGCTTTGCAGTTGCATCGTTTGTCACCAGGGCAATGGTGACAACAAGTAAACCGGGATCACTATTGTCTGTTACTCATTTGACTAAAGAGGACATGGAATCAACAGATGGGATAGCACAGTGGTGCAGAAGCACTGTGCTTCCGAGAAAGGTACCATAGTTGGTGACAAATGTGAAATGAGCACACACATCAAGAACAGAGCAAGCGTGGAAGCCCTGTGGAGGCAGCGCCAAGCCAAGCAACCTGGGAGCAGGCAAGCACAGCATTATCAGCTCCCGGTTATTTCTGCTTGTTATCTCTGAAACTCACTGTGTAGGCCAGGCTAGCCTCAGACTTCTAGGCAACCCTCCTGCCAGTGCCTCCTGACCACTGGGATTACAGCTGCGCAGTGTCAAGTCCAGCTACATAACAACCGTACACAGCCCACGGCTCCCTTTCCAAGCACTGTCCTGCAGGTCTCCCACAGTAATAATGGAGGTGGGGCAGTTGATGAGTCCAGACAGCCTGAATACCTTGTCCTACATCATAGGGAAAGCCAACCTAAGGACCACAGGTCCACACTAACCATGTGTAGAACTCTGAATGACGGTGTCTGCACCAAACTCACCAAGAGCGAAGACCACACATTCACCTGTTCTGAGCTCTTCACTCCACCGTGCGATCTCAGTGCTCTCTGCAAACACACGGAGCTCTTTTTCTGAAGCATCTAGGGCTGACTGCATGGATCATAGTTCCAGACCCAAGATGAGCACCATACTTCTGCCAGACCCATTCCAATGCTCTCTGTCGATTCAGTCATGACCCTAGACTGCCAGTACATGTCATTTACAGCATTCAGAGGTCATGTGGCCATACAGCTCTCAAGTGGCCAGTTCGAAGCAGTCCACAAAATAACCTCTCTGAGTGTGTGGTTGCACTTGAGGTTTTCATTAGAATATCTGGAATTTCCTTTTAAGTATGATTTGAAAAATGAATTCGGGAGATAAGTTGCTTTATCACTTAATTTTTTTTTAGATTTATTTTATTTTGTGTGTATGAGTGCTTTGCCTGCATGTATATCTGTGCCCCACATGTATGCCTGGTGCCTAACGAAGTGGTGAGCCTCCATGTGGGTGCTGGGAATTGAACCTGCGTCCCATGCAAGAACAACCAGTGCTCCTAACCACTAAGCCAACTCTCAAGCCCTATATAACCTTTTTTTTTTTTTTTTTTTTTTTTAAATTTCAGAAATACAGACATGTATTAAAGCAATCCAGGAGGCAGAGCATAGCTCCAGACCAGGTGCCGTCCTGGGAATGTGTGATTTGGGTTTTAAATGTTTGGGGACTTTGGAATATTTACATCTATACATGGTGAAGTAGTTTGGGATGGGACCCAATTCTAAACCAGAAATCCATGCATATTTCAGGTACGCCTTTGACACATGGTTCGAAGGTAACTTTATACGATCTTGAGGTTTGAGTGTGAACTGTCCATGAAATATGGTGTGCAATTTTCTACTTTAGGGGTTGCAGCATAACACAAAAAGTAAGGTTTTGCAACATGATGGACTTCCTATTTCTGGACTGGTTGCTCAAATTATTGTTATTAAGCAGTCAAATGAGAATGGAATTGACATACATAAATCTAACAAAAGTTTATCAACACGCATGTGAAACTCATGAGAGAGTATGGTATTCAGACATTTTTATAGTTTAAAAAAGCAATATGCTGGTCACATCTGTGTCACCAATGCCTTCAAGCAGTGTCTTCCCGTACCTGTAGACAAATATACGGAAAGTGGAAAGAGCAAAATAGAAGAAGAGTGGAAGGGCCTCGTGTCATTCAGCTCCCACTTTTAAAATTGAATTTACACAACTTTATTTTAAACTTTTCATTTTTCTGGAGCTCTGTGGGCTTCAAAAGCACACATCTGGATGCATGAGGATGGTTCTGGCAGACTCTTGGACACAACAAGGCACAGTGCAGTAAGTACTCTGTGTGGCAAGTCTCCATTATTCTCCTTTCATTCTGCACTTCAAGAAACCGTTTTTCAA